TTCGAATCAGTTCGAATCAAATGATATATTCGAATCAGTTCGAATCAAATGATATATTCGAATCAGTTCGAATCAAATGATATATTCGAATCAGTTCGAATCAAAAATTAAGTGATTTGATTTGATTCGAATTCGAATCGGTTCAAATCAGTTCAAATTTCATTGATTCGTTCGGAGCCTTAGTTTTAAGGCCTTCCTATTCTCTTTGGCCTTTTCCTTTTTTTCCTTAGCAATAGCCTCTTCAGCTGGAGTCTTTATTTTAATCAACCCATCTTTAGATACAAAAGTATGTTTTTTGGTACCACATGTCCCACAGATACCAACCAAAATTTTCCATCCATTTCCAGTGGCTTCCAATCTCTCAGATGCAGAATTTGTTCTATCATGGCACTTGACACAGTATGTTGAGCCATCTTTTAAACTTAAATCTCATACTTTCAATGGACATAATAATGTCATCACCAATAGATTGATATTATAAATACTATTCATTATCTGGAGTATCTCCTAAGCTGTAAAGAATGAAGAACATTTTAATCTCCATATTAGGCCCAAAAAAGTAAAAAGGTCAGAGCAACCAAAAGTTGTTATCTATAAGGCTAATGCTGTACAAGGTTCTGATTTACAGCAATTTCCAATGGACCCAAAAGGCTATATATTCTCATATAGTTGTTAATGTCTCAACTAAAGATGGCTCTACGACTAGGAGGTTGCAACCTAAAAAAATATTGACATCTAATGCTGCAAATGCTGCAACTGCTGTAAGTCTGCAATTGCTGCAACTGTCTGTAACTGTCTGCAACTGCATGCAACTAACTGCAACTGTCTGTAACTGTCTATAATTATCTGCAACCTCTATAAAACTAAATTTATTTTTATCAAAAAAAATTTTTTAATTAATGATTTTATTTAAAAACAATAAATCCCATTTTGTAGTTATGTGATTACATTTTTGATACCAAGTCATCATAATTATAATTACAGGTGGTTACAGAGGAGGTTGCAAAGGTTGCAGAAAAGGTTGCAACTCGAGCTCTAAAACCTGCAGTTGCAGAAAATCTGGAAACAATTACAAACACCAACTTTGGTTATAGAATATAACTAGGATTTGATCTTTTATTGGATCTATTTTTAGTTGGAGATTACATCAGAATGTGATGCTCCTCAGTATTTTCCAGAGATATGATCATGATCCCATATCTTAGATAAAACAGTTGCATTTCAGATTGTGTTCATTGCTTTATCCATAACTCTTTTCTTTTCTTTTTTTATCAGTAATCTTCTGTGCCATTGATTTCAGTATATTTCCTTTTGCAAGATTTTCCTTGTTGGGTTCTTGGAATTCCTTTCTTACATATCCAACATTTATTAGCTTTACTGAAATCAGCCATTGTCTTTCATATTCTTCCTTGTATTCAGGTTCATCCTTGAGCTTACAATTATCTATGTTATCAGAGTTTATACTTGATGTCTTCATAAACTTTTTCAAGTTCCTTAATGAAGTGCTCTGTGGAGTTATCACCTCTATGAGGATATTCATTTGCCCATACTTCATCATCACTCCATTTTACTACAATATGATGGCTGTTGGGAACATTCTCAGTTAACTTCTTGATCTGACCTTGGAATTTTTTTGTTATATGACTCAAAATCCGAACATATTACACAAGGGGATCTCATCATATGTTTCCATTTTTTGAAATGTAATTTATTATTTTTACCTCTTTCTGGAAGCTCTGTAAGTTGAAGAGCATCTGTATGACCATGGCAATACTTTTGATACTTTCTAAGTACTATTTCTAATGCAAAGTATCAACCACAGCAGGTACATAAGTGCTTCTTTTTTTATGACTTGTTTTAGTATATATAATCTTACTTGGGTCCTTTATCCATAAGAAATGAGTTTGTTTTTTACTCCAAGAGTTTCTTCTATAAGAACCATAAGATTGACTTCATACTTCTCTCATAATTTTTCAATACTATGATGGGTTGTATTCCCACTTTATCATCCCAATCATATACATTGAAATAATAGTCAAGATTTAGTTTTTCAAGATTTTCGAATATGTGTTTGCTAACTGGAACTAGTTTTCCATCCAGAATATTACAATAATTAACATGATCTTTATATGTTCTTAGAACTGATAACCATTGAAGTTTATTTTGCTTACTTCTGTGAGTTAAATGCACATATGGACAGTTATTATCCTTGGTCAATGTTATCAAGATGGGTCTGATTCATTTTATCAACAATCATTTCATCAACAGTCATTTTGTCAACACTCATTTTGTCAAAAGTTTGTTTCATCAAAAGTTCATTTCGTCAAATGTTCATTTCATTGAAAATTTGTTTTGTTGAAAGTTCATTTCATTGAAAATTATTTCATCACAAAAAAAAAACTTCATTAAACAAATTTCTCCTCACACTTCCCACACACTCCACTTTTCTCACCTAGTTTCTTAACTAACTTCCCACACTCCTCACATCTAACTTGTTCAGTCTCTGGCTCAAGGATGAAATAATTTTTGACAAAATGAACATTCAACAAAATGAACATTCAACAAAATGAACATTTGATGAAACAAACTTTCAACAAAATGAACATTTGACAAAATGAACTTTCAACAAAATGAACTTTCAATGAAACAAACTTTCAACAAAATGGATGTCGATGAAATGATTGTTGATGAAATAATTTTCAATGAAGTAAACGTGACCAATCAAGATTTATAGTTGCCTTCTTGTTAGCTAATCCTTTTGGAGTTTTTATATAGCTTCCTCATCTGGCAATTTTGTATTGTGATATTTGAGCATCAATATATAATCCTTTCTTAAATTTAAATTCAGATGCATAGTGAATAAATTTATCAATCTCATACATCAGGAAATTTTTTCTGATGCAAATTTACATAATATTATGGGGCCCGCCATAAACTTATGTAAATAGTGTAATATTATGCAAAAATTGCACAAAAATTACGCAACTATTACATTCAGTGTAAATATTACATCCTTTTTATGCAAAATATTATGACATTTCATATTAAAACTTACGGATGTAATATTACGGCAGGAAAAGTTTCCTGATGTAAGATTTAGATATAAGTTCATCATTAATATCACTTTCATTCAAGATGTAATCCATTGTAGTTTTGAATGGATGTTTTCTCATATATGTAACACCACCTTCATCTATTTGTAGAATAGTCCTCTCCATAGTTGCTTGTAATAACATCAGGAAATTTTTTTTGTTGCAGACTTGCATAATTATTACACTATTTATGTAAGTTTACAGTGGGCCCTGTAATATTATGCAAAAATCATATAAAAATTATGCAATTATTACATTGAGTGTAAATATTACATAATTTTTTATGCAAATATTATAACTTTACATATTAAAATTTATGGATGTAATATTACAGCAGGGAAAATTTCCTGATGTTGTTTTGTTTGTTTTGTTTGTTGTTTTGTTTGTTTTGTTTGTTTTGTTTGTTTTGTTCATTGTTTTGTTCATTGTTTTGTTTTGTTCATTTTGTTCATTGTTTTGTTTGTTTTGTTCATTTTGTTCATTGTTTTGTTCATTGTTTTGTTCATTTTGTTCAAATTATTATTACTCAAATTATTTTGTTTTATTCAAATTATTATTACTTGAATTATTTGTTTTATTCAAATAAATATTTGAATAGAAAACCCTAACTGCTACTCAAGATATGATATTATTTTAGTACAAAGAGCTTTAAAAATATTTAACCAATAACTTAATTACAATATAAAGAGCTATTGGTTTATTAAACTAAGCCAATAATTAACTAAAAAAAGGATTAATTTTAAAAGAATATCTGATAAATATTGGCATTTTCAATATTTACTAATAGGCTTTTAGACTACGACAAAAATATTATTAACTTATCAGTATGCTAATACCTTGATTATTTTTTTAAAGAATAATCAGATTCTGATATTTGCTGATACCTCATTACCCAATTTGGCATTATTTGACCAGTAAAGAGAGAACCAATAGATTATATATAAGCAAAGAAAAATGGGACCTTAAATTAGCACAAAAGAATTTTAAATCATGCACAAACATAACAGCTTGATAGCTTGATCAACATAGTGATGCGGCCTTGCAATTGTTTATTGTATATTTTAAATATAATTGATTGTGTTTTTAACAAAACAAACATGACTTGGTTATTTAATCATTTCCTTCATTTCCTTGTATATGAATGCCTCCATCCATCAAATATTCATGATGGTCACGATTATTATGTGATACATTTGGTATCATCATTGACATAACAAACAATTGCATCACCCAAGTAGTAATAATAACAAGGCCATGCAAAAATGAAACTTTAATAATAATGCATGTCTACCCAGATCTCCAGGGTTCACAAAATAAATTACTTTTCCTGATTACAATTATAGTTGCTCATGAATAATAAATCTGATGTTGATCATAGGTGTCAGATTTAATTAAAACTTTCCTGTCACAAACATGCAGTCGGGTGCTTTCACACATTTCAGCACCATGGATTTTTTTTCCACTGTTGAAATACCCCACATGTTGGAAGGCTTTGGACAAAACTTTTGCTTATCTTCCCCTAGACCAGACTTGGCTGTTACCATATGGGCATTGATCACTGGTAGCTGGCATTTGTGTGATGATTGCTACATGTTATTGCCACACTAGCATAAAGTTGGCACCTGCAACTGGTTCAAAAGTTCTGCAACTCAGGAGATTGCAACCTGGATTGCTGTTTTGGATTTTCCCTGAATTTGGAGTTTTGAGTCCTGGGTTGCTGTAATTTTTATGAAAAGAAAAGTACTAATATTTAACAATTAATTATTTAATTGCTGATCCGTGAATGAATCGGAGCAATGATCGGCATTTTAATATAAAAAATTTGTGCTAATTAACTATAATAAAATTCCATTTTTTTAAAATCTCTGTTTCCTCAATTGTAATCCTTATGTCTACTCAAAATTATAAAACTCAACTTTTAGCAACTGGCATAATCGACCAAGATATTCATTATGGACCCTATGCTATAAATTGGTGGTATTTTTCAAACACAAAAAATAGTCAAAATAAACAAATTTGTTTTCCGATACGTATTAACATGAGAGTTATATTTGAATTAAATAAAAAAGCATTTATTGTTCGAGTAGTTGTTAATGCAGAAGGAAATAACACAGGACCTGGTTATATATCTGAAACAGACCTAGATTCAAAAATTTATTCATCTACAAGTGAAGTAGTAAATGAAACTTACAAAAAATATTTCAAAGGGAGTACGCGTTTTTCTGGACCAAATGTTATGGGATTTGATGATGAAATAGTGATTGAACAATTACGAGTAGGAGTTTCTTTTTTTCCTTTCCAAATTGTTACTAATAATTTTAAGGTTTTGGTAACATCAATAGGTAGTTCAGATCAAGAAGAATTGAATTTTGCAGGCTCTGGTTTTTGTTCTTCTTTTTCTCACAAATATTCTGGAAAGCATTCTTTGATATTCCAATCTGTATTTGAGGAAGGGTGTCAGGTTGATATTTATTATAAGGGTAATCACATTGACACCTTTACTGGAAAATTGCCTACTGATGTTTGGAAGAAACTACCCATTTTGAAAAGTATTGATGGCAAGGAGTTATTTGGTCTATGTGATCAATTTGTTACACAAGAAATTAAAAACCATAAAAATAAACCATATTGTGGATATTGTGACTGGGATAATATTGAGAAAATGGAAATTGCATTTGAGAAGTACCTTAAAAGGAGAATATTTGTCTCTGATTTAAACTGGCATAAGTTTTTTACTGATTGGAAGCAAAAGAAAACAACTATAATAGAATTCACCTCACATCTCCGTTCCATTTATCAACCTAAAGTTGAAATTACTAATGTCATGTGGGGAGCATGGAGAAGAATGATGAAGGGTGTCGGGTGTACAAATATAACACCTTTTGGTAAAGATGAATCAGATGTGAGTATTATAATATTTTTTTCTTATAATAATATAAATAATAAAATAATTATTAATCATATATTACCAATTCTGCAGCTTGAGTTTTGGACATATGCTGAAGATCCATCAAATGATCAGGCTTTAATCCGTTATCTTTATACAACAAATCTTCTAAACAATGTTCCATATGATCCATCTGTAAAGAATAATGAACTTCAAAAGCAGGTAAATACATTTTGGAAGTGTTTTGATATTTCTCTCCAGATGAATAAACGTGGTTTGGATGGAAAACAAAGAATATTATCAGTGATAGCTGATAATTTTGTTTTTGATGAGCTGCAAGAGAAATTAAAGGTATTTCTTTATGGAAAATTCACACTTATATTTTCATGATTAATTGTATATATTTGTTTACTGTTATCTATCTACCTTTAAAATTTTAGATTTCAAATGGTTTAATAAGTGCAGCTAAAAAATATTCACGGACCAATGGACCTGGTTGTGTTGCTATAATAAAACCTGTAATTACTCATAGTAGATTATCAGAAGTCAATGATCAAGAGTTTAAAACCTTTTTTACAGACAGGGATAATGTTTCAATGAGTTCCTATAAGGTAAATTCAAAAACTAACCTTCCAATTCTTTATTTGAGAGACACTAAAGAAGCTCTTTGGAAAAAATTTGAAGCAACTTATCCTGATGGAATCAAACGAACTTCATTCATGGCAAGATTAGCACAAGATGGTCAATATATATATAGAAATGATCTGGGTGGCTTATGTAATATTTGTAACGAATACTTCTATGAAGTTTTCAATACAATAAATAGCCTAATCCAATTAAATATTACTGATCAAGAAGAAAGGGTATTTAAAATATATACTTCATTTTCCACATCATAAATCATGAGCTTTTTAATAATTTGTTACCTATAAATAGAATAAATTAATTAAAGAATCAGAAAGATTGCGTCTCCATCTAAGAAGAGGTT